ATATATATATATACATATATAAAAGTAAGTTAAATCAAGATAATCTACATTGGTAAAATAAAAATAAATATTAGTGTGATTTTTATGTAATATTTTATATTCTACATAAGACGTACAGGATAAATCTTCGATATTTTAAAACAATGAAGAATCAAAACGAATACGTATATATTTTTGAGCACATTTTATTTTAAAGAACAACTGAAAAAGTTTTTACAAAATTATGAAACTTCTATATGAATACTTTTAGTAGTAAATACTTTTAGTAATAAAGTATATGAAAAATCCAGCAGTTATTCCATTTCACACCAAGTACGCTGTAGAATTTCACAATATTAGTATGATACCAATAGCAATCACAATTCAGTTGTGCAAAAAATTTATGTTCAGTAATTTAATAGAATAAACTGTATTCTTGATATGCCTCTAAAAGAAAAAAATCCAAGAGAGTGTTACCAAAATCCAAGAGAGCATTGCAAAACGAGTCAGGAGATGGAGTCCTTTGCATTATTCGAAAAAAACCACTAAAAGTACTCACGTGAAAGTTTAGTAAGACATTTTTGTAAGAAACTTTATTGTTCTTCAATAAAAATATCCAAAAATATGTGCTTATTTTTATTTCTCATTATTTCGAAATATCTGATATTTATCGTGTATATCCACTCTTTCTATTATTATTTCTATTTATACGGCGTTTTATACAAACACGATTTAAAAATTGTAACCTTTTATGATCATTCTTTGTATACTTTCTTTCGATTAATTCAATTGATATAAATTAATTTTACAAGGAAAACTAATCGATTAATTAAATTAAAATCGATTAATTAATTAAAAATTAATCGATTGAGACAGTAGTAGTTATTCCGCGTCGTATTACTGTGCTGTAATATTTTTCCATCTAAAATTATCTGTATTATCCAAAGTCTTTTAAATTAATAACATGTTAACAGACGTTAAAAAGCGGCAGACAAGTCGATATTATCTGATATTCCATCGACACGTTTTATAGGGTAATCGACACGTGGAAGCTCGAGTCAAAATCATCGAAAATTAGACAGCTGAGCAATATGAATCGCGCTTTGTAACGAACATTTTGTAACATCCACCTGGACGCGTGCCATGGTGGTCTCTCGATGGACACATGGGGGTAAAACTATAGGGTGAAACCAAAAAACTGTTGCGATGCACCCGTACGATAATCAGTTACTCATAAAATTTATCAAATATTTCAAAAATTTTATAAAAATTTTTAATACAGTAAAAAGAAAAGAAAAAACAATAAAGATATTGAAATAAAGTTTTATAACTTGTATATTATATCAGAATAATATAAATAAGAAGAATGTTTCTAAAGTAAGAAGTTTAACGAACATCTTTTTTATATTTTTTAAATAATTTGTGAGACGAATGTTTTTAATGTGTGTATTTTATATATATATATAT